GTGGCGGGGGCAGCCTGTGCGAGTGCCCGTAAGTTTCCCTTAAAGCCCTGGTAGTCGCCAGGCCGAGCGGCGGGCTCTGCGCGGGCGGGGCGGGGAGAGAAAGCTGCCGGGCACCTGGCACCGCCCTTCGGGAACATGCACTTCAGGGGCACAGGCAGGCGGGGGAAAGTTTGGAATGGGGTCCGTGGAAGAACGGGCTACGGACTGGGAGGAGGCACAACTCCACAACACAGGAAGCCAGGTGCAGGAGCAGCAGCAGTTGGATTTGCACAAGACAGGGGAGCTGGAAGTAGCCCCAAAGGTCTATATTTACAAACTAAAGAACAAGGAAGAAAGCCAGGAAGAAAAGAACAATGAGGAAGGAGGGGCCGGGAGGACCTTGCCGGGGACGTTTGAGCTCAGGAGTTACTATAGTAACCAGTCCAAGGGAATAGTGGCCAACCAGAGGGGACATCAAGGCACCAGGATCCGCAGCCCCTATAAGCCCTGGGGAGAAGGAACTCAGGGGGACCCTTTCCCCCTCCCCAGCTGGGAGTCCGCTCTGTGGGACTCCTGCCCTCTCCTCACGTGCGAGTCTGTCCTTGTTCTTCAGTAAATCTCCGCCTTTGCTAGACCACCTCTGCCCGTGGATTCATGCTTCGATTCCCCCGGACAAAGAGTCCGGGTTCCAGTCCAAAAAGTCCGTTTCAATTTCTCTTGCGAAACACCTGAGAGTGGGACTGCTGGGCCACCGGGTAGGGATGTGTTAACTTTATGAGAAACTTCCCAAAAGTCCCCAGGATGGCCCCATCGTTTTCTCCTATTTACAGCACCAAGAGGGGACCAGGGCCGGGCGATCGAGAAGCCGGCGGAGGTAACCGGCCAGTGCCAGCGGCCGTACCCGGTCCTCACAGGTTACTAATTATGAGACGTTGCACAGATTGCTGGACTTGCCATTTTTCTAGAACAATCACAGTCGCTGGCCCTGTTGGCCCTGTGCTCCCCCATTTGGAGCTGAGTGATGGCTGTCCCCTTCAGCTGGGACACGTGCTCCCCAGTCGGCCACCGCCCCGCTGCCTGCCTCACTCACCCGCTGGCCTGTGTGGGCAGCAGGGCCCTGGGACACATTCATCGCCCCTTAGGCCCCAAGGACTCAGGACCAATCCTTCGGCCTTCCTGGGATTGTGCCCCTGGAGGCAGATCGCAGTGTCAGGCCGTCTGTCTGTCCCGCTTCTGTCCATCTGTGCGACACATTCTCCCTCCCCTACCCGGGCAGGCCACTGCCCTGCAGCCCCGACTCATCTGGTGTCTATTTAATTGCCAGGTCTTTGTGCAACCAGCGCCCTCGTCTGGTGGACACATCTCTGGGTTCAAATCCTGGCTCTGCTGCTTACTGGCTTGCAGCCTGTGGGCGAGTTTTCTCATCAGTGAACTGGAGATAATGACAGTGTTAGTCTTCGAGGGTGACTGGAAAGGTGGGTGAGCACTGGACAGAACCTGCGCGCGTGTGTGTGTGTGCCACCAGCCTCCTGAGCCCCTCTGCCCGGGCTGCAGCCCAGGCCCCAGGCCCAGGCTCGGGGCTGTGGCCATGACTCTGCTCCGGCGGGGCTGCCTGTGCCACCGGGGCCTGCAGGGGCCACATCTTCAGATTATCCTACCGCAGTGGGAGACCAGAGCCTGCTGAAAGTCTCATGTTTTACAAGTGCAATTTTTCAGTCTTGAATGCCCTGAGTGCTCCGCAAAAACCTTCCTCTGTCCCCGCCTGTCCTGGTGTCGTGGGCCACACAGGCCCGGGCCGTGGCCTGGCCGCTCCTGACAGCTGCTCCGACTCCAGACGCCTGTCTTTGCACCGCCTCGGGCTGGAGAGCACAGGACGGGGCTGAACAAAGACCGTCACTGTCCCGGCCGCAGAGGCCCGGGCGGCACTGACTGCTCTCCTGGGACGTTCCTCTGTCCCCTGCCTCCCCCGCCAGCATCTGTCCCCTCCCCCCCCCCAGCTGTCCCAAGCCCGCCTGTCCCCAGAATGGAGGCGGGCCCGTGGGAGAGGGGTGAGTGGAGCTGGGTGGTGCCTGTTAGGGTCGCTGAGGAGGAAGGCACGAGGACAAAAGTGGTAAGAATTGTAATTTACTAGGGCCCTCGAGACAGGTGGGCTGAGCCCCAGATGGCGCCAGCCCCCAGGGATGGGGGCCAGAGGCTGTAAAGGACTCTAGGTGGGCTTTTCCAGGTGGGGGGACTCCCTGGGCGGGTCTGGGTCCTGGGAAGGTCCAGAGGGGAGAGACAATTGTGGGCCTAGCAAGTGGGATGTGGTCGAAGTGAAAGGGAATGTCTGTTGCGAGTGGCCTACAGGGCAGTTCCCAGGGGAGGGGCTTCCATTCAATTCCCTGACCAGACCCAGGAGCGCCCAGGAGGCTGAGGGCCGCGCTCCGGCAGCCACCTTCCCACAGGGGCTGGTCTCAGCTCCAGGTCAGTGCTGGGCCGGGCCTGAAGCATGGTAGCAACCATGTTTGGGTGAATGTTTAATATTTTAACCCAGCTGGCTTGGCTTCTGTCATTATTTGCTTCCTAAAATAATAGAAAAGTTATTTTTATTTTCTTTTTTTTAATTAAATCTTTATTGTTCAGATTATTACATTTTTTCCTCTTTTTCCCCCCCATAACTCCCCTCCTCCCAGTTCCCGCCCCACCCCTGCCCTCACTCCCCACCCACTGTCCTCATCCATAGGTGCACGATTTTTGTCCAATCTCTTCCTGCATCTCCCACACCCCTTTCCCCCCAAGAATAGTCAGTCCATTCCCTTTCTATGTCCCTGATTCTATTTTTCCTGGA